GCAGCACTTCCTTCTGCCAGGCATCAGCTCAGCCAGACACTGGCTGGTCACGAGAATTTTGGCGCGAAACATTGGTGCTCTCGACATTTTAAAGTTTTTCTCTATTTTTCCTTTGTCTTCGGAAAGATATTGGCTTGAGAGTGTTTTAATCAATATAACAGATTACAAAGAATACACCACCATAGCCCCCATGCTCTTTATTACTTTACAGCAAAAAGTAAAACTCTAAGAAAACACACAACTGTACTAGAAAAATAAAAATAGTTCTATACAACTTTGCTAGAGGGAAAAAGTTAAAGGGCTGTACTGCGATTAATTTATGTACGGTAATAAAACTGTTATTTAAATGTAATAAAATAAAATGCCACACTTTTTTTTTTTTAGGTTTTTTGTTTGGGTGGGGTTTTTTGGTTTTGTTTTGTTTTTTTTTTTAACAGAAAAGCATATCCCAGACTTCCACATAATCCATACGTCAAGTATCTCTCAAACTCTAAGTATTAAAAAAACCCCCTCTATCTTACAAAAATAACACTTCAGAACAATTAATAAAGCGAATAAAATTACTTCATCTGTTGGACTTTTTTTTCTTTTCTTCATACTTTATGATGCATACCAAGAGGAAGCACCTGGTAAAAACCACACATATGGCTCAGGTCTGTAAGCAGTCTCAACCGTGAGAGGTAGGTCATCAAATGAGATCAGCGTGAAAACCCTTTTTCCTTGCAGATCATTGAGCATCTATGAGGTGAACAATACAACTACTGTACTGAGCCAGCCGTCTTCAGAATTTCACCTCCCTCCTCTCATCGGGGAGAGCCAGAAAACTTTCTGCCAGTGTTATCAGGAGTAAGACTACGCAGGGTGCAAATTTCTGAGCAAGACAGTGGGGAGAAAAAGAGGAGAGAAAAAATGGAATCTCCTCAGAAGCAGCACAGAAACGATACAATTTATTGATACGCGCTCACGGTAGCAATTTAGCTTGAACTAATTATGCTGAGTTTTCCTTAAACATTGAGAACCAGGTAGTATATTAAAATGATCAAATCAACCACTGCAAAACACATTATAGAATCTAGGTATGTACATAGGGCAATTAAAGGCGAGATTTGGCATGAGGTTACTACACAGCAGGACTTGGTCATTGTTAACAGACAGCTTTGAGTTCAAACAAAACATTAAATCGTAGACTGAGTACATTAGCATCACTACATCTGTTTTCAATTTTGGCCTGTGAAAAAGCAATATACTGTGGCAATTTGCATTTCCTAAAGTTTTTCAGAGTTAGATATCAGAGGCAGCAATTGATTGTGGCTCCTCAGCATTTATTTACAGCACACCCCAAGTAGGTCAAGGACATGAAATTGGTAGAGGATCCAGTATTTCCAATAATCTAACATGTTCCAGGCATGTCTAAGTTTCTTAAGCAATCCCTTGACATGGCAGGGCAGTGGGTTTTGATCTTTTATTATTGGTCACAAGCTTGGTTTCCAGCTCCCCACACTTCTATGTGACCTGAGACACACGGAAACCTGGTGCGTTTGGTAGTTGCTGTGGAATAGATGGGACAATGACAGAAACCTTCCTTCCAACCCCACCTTCCCAAACAAGCAATGAAGTTAAGGGACAGCTTCGACGACTACCAAGAAGGCTCAATGATTTGGGGATGGCAATATACATGCTTGTGCAGAATTCACTGAGGGAGACAAACAAAACTGAGAGTAGCACAGAACTGCACTACTGTAATACTTACAGGCAGCTTTAGTCATTGCAAAAGAGCACATGGCACTTCATAGCTTCATGGTGCCAAAGTAACGCAGATCAACTACAACTCCGAACAAGGACCAATAAAACTTCAGTTGTCTGCTCTTATTACTCTTCTACATTTAGGTCTCCAAGAACTTAAAGAAACTCAGGGCATGAAGGACAGCCCATTCTTTTGTTATTGTTGTTCTTATATATATTTATGTAAGTTTAAACCCAAATATTAACACTTAAGAATAAAATTAAGCAAAATAAATACTTACGCATTTACTAATGCATTAAGCAGACTGCAAAGTCTAATATCATCCAAAGTAAAAAGAAGGAAGATAAATTGCTGGGTTCATTGAATATTTTTTATGCATCTTACAAAACTATAAAAAAAATGCAGATCCATTAAATACAAGAGAAAGAAATCTGACAAAAATCAAATTGAGTATGTTACTGCTTTGAGAAAAATCTGAAGGTTCTGTAAATATTTTCAGTATTATTTAGGTCAAATAGACCGACTATTTTTCAGAGCATCCAGTTAATTTCACAGCGTCTCATTTTTTATTAAATAATCGCTGTAGCTTGACATATTTCTAAATCAAGAAAAGAACAGTATTTTGAAAGAAGTATCACAGTACAGGAAGCCATCTTTTTGTCTTTTGCATATTTCCCACTTTGAAAGCATCTTGGTGTTATCTTAAACATTTGATGAAATAATTGCTTTCCAGTTCTCTATTTCTAATTTTGTAACTCAAATACCCAAATTTACTGAAAGTGAAGCAAAGCTAGATGCCAACTCAAAAAAAACCCAACCCCATAGTAATTGTTGTATTACAGGACATATATTGGACAACCAAGAGTTACAACTACTACAGTTTGGCACAACAGTCTCTCTAATGTCACTATACATAAAACAGCTGTCTGGAGAACTGCTCTACCAGTTCAGGAGCCAGTATGGTGTTTGTGCAGCAAGTTTGCCACCACAGGTTCAAAGCGGCTGCCTGAAATGATGTTGTTCTTCGGTACCACATTTTGGGGAAAATAACTATAGTAAACAGCCTGAAGTCACAAGTAATGAATTTTAGAAAGACCCTTAATGAGATGTTAGCCTCCTTCATTGCAGTCCTATTGCTAAGAGCAAGGAGAGGCAGTTCAGCATTTGCAGAAGTCTCTGCAAAACTTCAGCAATTGTCTCCCATACAACACTAGAAGACTGGTGGGAAAACAGTTCTAATTTACAGTTATATTGAATGACCAAAAAAAAAAAGCTGCTTCAGCTTAAAAAGAAAAAAAACCAAAAAGTATGACATACGGCTACTACTGTCAGTAAGAACTTTAATGCTGCCTGTAAGAACTGAATCATGATTGACTAACTATGTGGAATACATAGTAGCACCTTAACCATAGATTTCCTGATTTTAAATCTGTGGCCTTATTTCTTGTGACATGATTATGGTCTTACGTGCATAAAGGGAGATTTTGATCAAGCATTGCCTATTTTAAAGTTTAGGGGTTTGGTGTTTTGGGTTTTTGTCACTCTAAAAGGATGAGTGATGCACAGAAGATATTATTACAGAAATAAGTTCCCCCTTCAAAAATATTTTAGGTAAGTGAATATTATTTTGATTGCAGAATCCAGAATTCTCCACGAACTAATTAGGAAAAAGGAGGAATTAAAAAAATTGCAACAATCCATTTCCTTGTATACCTGTCTTACACACTAAGTGCAAGACTCACAGCCACCTGACTCTTGCTCACAGCTGTAAACTTGCACCTATTGCATTGGCTGCTACAGTTTGCACAATCTTCTCCTTTTTGAGGCCCCATGTCCTCAACAACTCACTCACCTGCCACCCAGATGCATCAGACACACTTGATCCCACAGTAGAAAAGTTATGATGCATTTTTCTAACCAAATTTTGTCCTCAAAGACCAAAGCAGGGGATACATGGTGCACAACAGCCCATCAAGCTCTGTATTCC